GAGAGAGAGAGAGATTACTTTTCTTCTGTGGTAAGAACCCTGTCAAGAACCCTATATTTATTTAATGCATGAAGCACTTGCTTTGATGTTTGAACTGCATATTCAATTGATTTCCTAGGTTTATATTCAAGTTTCTTGTTTTTGGGTTGCTTTTACTCTGAAGAGAATGCATTTATTTTTAAAGTGTTTCTTCTCTAGATTTGTATAGTATGGTTGTGACAATACTTTTTACGATGTTACTAAGGGAAACAAATTACATTAAATACATTTAACAATGCATGAAATTGAGCGTAATATTTCAAAGTTTTGGGACATTTTAGTTTTTATGGACTCATTGATAGTTTGGGAAAATTTCATCATTCTTTCTCAAGCAATAAATAATATCACAGAAAATTTCATCATTTTTTCTCTCAAGCAATAAATAATATCACAGATTGTACCATTTGTACTAGCTAAGTAATAGAAATTGTTCTCAAAATTTGATCTTACTTGTTGTCAATGACTCATGTTTCATAGGTGACCCTTGGTGCTTTGCTTTCTACGCCTAGCATCCCATATTGTAGGTCAAGGGTGTAGTTACTGGTTATGGATCTAATACTTGGGCTCCAAGCACCACTTGTTTTGATAAATAATGATTAGGTTCCATTTTGACTCCACTCATTGACTGAAGTTGCATCCAAACTTCATAACCCTGTGAATATTACATTGTCTTGTTTCTTTGGATATTTCTACCTTTGCCTTCTGTGTATAATAGCATGACTGCTTAAAATTTTCAAATATTTGCACCATGCTTCCATGTCGATATGTCAAAACTTATGTCAGGTAATGATGACCCTATGAAATTTCTTTGTACCGTTTCCGTGAATACTATTTCTTTTACAATGCTACTTTGCTTCTGCAACTTATATATTCTCTTCACAGGGAAGCTTTACTTGGTGGATCAAAACTTTCAGCGGAGGCATCTGCTAACTCAAATGGATCAACTGGCTCTAATGTCTCAAATAAGACAAATTTGGCTGTGAACAACATACATCCAGCGGGGAAAATTGATGCAGGAACAGATAATGAAGCTCTTCATCATGACCATAGAGAAATGAAACACCACGCATCACCATGTTGTATCGCAAAACCTGCTGAGGAAGCTAAGATTTCTCCTACTTTGGATTGCTCAAAACTTGAGGTCACTAATGATGGATCCCAAGATGGTTCACTTGAAAAACGCAAACCGCTCCCACTCACTCCAAGGGTTTCAATTAGGCTTGAACGTTCCAACAATGACAGTGTAAGCTTTCAGAAAAACTGGACTATCATTTCATAGTAATTCCATTGAAAATATCCTATATAAGTTGTATCATTTAGCAGTAGATATGTTTAAATTTCATCATTAAAGACTAAGAATTTCGGAACAAATCAGTGAGCTGAAAGATATTGACTTTCGATAAAAACAAGTGCTATAATCATTTGCATCTTTTTACAACAAAGGAACTTAGTCTAATCTCTTAAGTTCAATTCTTCACCCATGTCCACCCTCACTGCTGTTTATCCTTTGTTCACTCATGTGCTTTGATATGGTGAGTGTTTGAAGGGAAATCCCAAAAATATTAGATATTCTTGTTCACTAAATTATTTGAGATTTGCATCTTGGATTACAAGTGCTGAAAAAAGGAAAAAGGAGAATTTATATTATCGATATTGGAATGGATAATCAATCATTTTTAAACTTCTATTTGTTCATGAGTAAATAAGAACACGAAGTTCAAAGACTGTGGCAGGTTATTCTTGAATCGTTACATACAATTTTTTTCTCCACATAGCCCTTTTTAAAATGTTCCCTTATCATTATCATCTGTTTTTAGTTATTCTTCCTTGAAATAATTATTTTAACTTTTTGTTTCATTTCACCATTGACAATTAAAAAGTAATGCTTGCTTCCATATGTAAACAGTAAAGGTAATGTCCAATACATTGAACCTTTTTGTTGTGTGCTTTTGATGTTTCATATATTTTCTTTCCTTTTTTTGGTTCACTGGCGGAGGGTAAATTGGGACATAGTGTAACTGATCAAGCAAGCACCTCAATCCTTTGATAATGGGTGCCCATCAAGCTTTGTTTTACTGGCCAAAAGCTTGAATTATAAAGCCTAAAGGATGAATACTTGGACTATTCATACTTCATATGGTCTAAAATCAATCCCTTTAATTCATCAAAATCCTTATGTTTGCTATTATATACCCTCTCTTTAGATCTGCAATGGATTCCACCCTAAAATGATATTTTCACAAGACCCAAAATTCAATTGTTCCGTCTCTTTGAATTAACCAAGCATAATACATATATTTTTAAGAGAAACCTTAATAGCTAACTTTATTCCCAAGAAACCTAATTGCTACAATCTTGCTAAACCTCTACCATGAAAAAAGTGTCTCTAAAATTTCTACAACAATAAGAGACACAAATACCCTTAAGAAAGAAGAAAAAAAAGGAAAACTCTAATTTTTTGACTACATCATTCTCTCTTGTTGAACTTCTCGCATCCTTCAGAGGCCTCTCCAATAATTGGTGGTATGGTCCTGCAATTCACCCAGGTACGTTTTCTTCTTCGATAAACCAATCAATGAAATTCATGTAAAGCTTGTAGTGGTACTCTGGGATATCAAGTGTAATCGTAACTTATTCTTCAAGCTAAAAGGGATGTTTTTACATGATTGCACCAACATATAGCAGTTTGGGGTTGATGTTGGCATCTTTTGCATTCAGGTGTGCTCCTTCACGTTTATATTTTCAAGTTTCTTCTCTGTCTCATCTCAAAGTTTGAGATTTGGTACCAGATCTATTAGATTACGAGCACCTCTTTCTCAGTAATTGGTATTTGCTAATTGTTGCAACCATTGGCCAATGTCTCCTTGGAACTTCGTTGATCTCTACTTGAAGTTTGTAGATCTATCCTCGAAGTTTGCCGATCTAGACTCGAAAATGTAGCACGACCTGATTTATGCTCTCTTTAGTTTGCTGATTCACTTCATCCATGATTTTTGACAGTATAGCCTCCACTGCAAGATAGGATTCCACTTAATTTAAGGAAAGAGGGAGAAAGAAAATAAAACAAACTAGAGAAATAAAAAAGAAAAGGTAAGAGAATGTCCCCTCTTTGGATCCGTTCTAAAAGATCTTCTCACAAGACCCAAATGTTAATTCTTCTCTCTTTTGAATTCACAAAGAACAAACAATATATATTCTTGACTCTCGAGAAACATAGTCACTAGTAAATCCTAACCCTTTGTCTTGTCAAACATTAGCCATGACAAAAGTACCCCTAAAATCTTTACAACAACAAAAGACACAAATACCCCTAAGGAAGAAAGAAAAACAAGAAAAAACTCTAATTCATTGACTACGTCACTTGTTCGTTACCTATGTGTATGATGCTTTCTTGAAATGGGTATTGCCCTTGCATTTTAATAGAATACTCCTAAATAATCAATGTCCATAAGGTGTTCTATTTGATAATTGGAACCTTTTTTTGTGCTGTCATTTATCTAAAGATAAATAGATCAAACAATTTTATTTATTTTGCATGGAATGGCACCTCTCGAATGTCTTCTCCTAGTCAAATTTCTTATTGAATATATATGTATATGGTATATGTATTTTGTGTTTGTACACATAACCATAGGGATTAAACTTCTCCTTTAAGCACGATTTCGTCTTCTTCCAAGCCGCAAATTTATCTTTTTCTTGTCGGACTGGACTTGCTATGACTGCTGCTCTAAATGAGGGTATGATCCTTCAGCTGAGCAGCCACGAATTTTACTTTCTTCTCTTCCAGTAATACTGTCCACACACTAGCAATCCAATTCTAAGAAATCATTGGATTGCAACCTGCCTGAACATTCCAGCACATGGACTTGAATACCATGATCCAACACTAAAGCAGCACAAACCAGAGGATCCTCAAACGGGAGATTTTCTCTTTGTTGGTTATGGGACATGTTAATCTCCTCTCTGCATTCAGATCCATCATTGTCATTAATGATTGAACCTCATTCAAAGCGGGTTTGACGCACCTCAAGCACTAGTTCCTTGAATTGCCTCATCAGATCATTGATATCATCATGTGTAGGTCCGAAACCCCCATCACAGCCACAGCCTCATGATCCTCTGGCAGCCATAATGCATAATTGCACTGTCTAGAATGAAGGGGAAAAACAAATAATAACTAAGAGGAGAATCTATTAGGGCTGAAAAATTGATTGAATGAAATAATGGAAGTCTACATGCCAAGCTTCTATGCTTGTCTCTGGTTCAACCAGCTATCAGAATAACTTTTTTTACTCGTGTTCTATCTTGGTGCTTCAGGTAGCATTTCAAGGATCTTTCAGAGTTTCAGTTATCTACGAAAATCTTGGAAGTGAGCTTGCTCTGATTCCAGATGACGAAGGAAGAAAAGGATATACAATTTAGAGAGAGTGAAACAATTAAGGCTGAAAAATTGATTGAACGAAAGAAAGGAAGCTGACATGCCTCTATAATTTTCCATGGTTCAGCCACAATTCACAAATTCACCATGCTTAAAAAATCAAAAAACTGTTAAACTTTTCACTCGTGTGTCCAATCTTGGTGCTTCATGTTGTATTTCAAAGATCTTTCAATTATCTACAAAGACTATTTCTAGGTTTTTTTCATATTTTGTTGTTTTAGGGCTCAAATGTTATGATTTAGAGCATAGGCTTGAAAATAATGACAAATTTTATGACTAGTTAAGACCATATTTATTAGTTATCAGCGCCATTCTAAAGTCCCAAATTGTTAATTGGAAGTTAGATTCTTGGTTTTATATGCTTATAAATAGACTGTTATGTGTCCATTGTGAGGAAGCGGGAAATGTTATTGAAATTGTAATTGAACTTTTGAGTTTTAAAGTTATGGAGCTCGACTGATGGTTGTTGCGCTCTCCCTCTTTTGAGTTTCTCACTTAATAACCCTCTACAACTCAATTAACAAAGTGAGGCAAACTATTGCAGTTGAACTAAAATCTGCTGAATGCCAAACCATTGAAAATGATAAAATCCATGGATTTATAGAAATCCTCCTACCCAAACAGCTCCTAAGTATATTTTAGTCATACTTAAGGCATATGTTGTATCTTGAGCTTTGTAATCTTTTAGGGAAGCTTTTTTTCTCTCCAAGTCATGGTGCCCACTTTTTCTACCTCTCCTCCCTTTGCTTCATCTTCTTGCTTTAAACTTCTTGATATTTAAAGGGCTTAATATGTGTACTTGGGGAGTTGAGAAAATACTTTGTCAAATAAATATGTCTTTCTTTTGAAAGGACTGGTATTCATTTTGGACATAGCTACATATATAGGTAGGGACGTACATGTACATGTTTGTGTCCGTTATATGAGTTCATCATCTTCACTTCAGTCTAATGCTATTGTGAAGATCTAGGCAAAGGAGACCCTTGAATCCAGGATCCATACTTTGGCTTGTCTAAGGATTCTCTATACTCATATTTCATTAGAACTTCAGATTTGAGATCATAAGCTGGTGCTGGTTTCAATGTAGATGATTTTTACGTCATTCAAATGGAACATGTTACTTTTGATTGCCTGATAACTCTTCTCTTCCACTTAATGACTCAATAAGCATGTAAAGAATTTTTATGCTTTACAAGCACTAGCTTTGAAGTTGGTGAAAGGGTCGGTGCATTGGTGTTTAGGGGGGCAGGTGCCTCAACATAACTTCCTATGCTCCATTCCCATAGTTAACACTTCAAAAAGAAAAAATAAAAAAACATAAAAAATAAAAAACTTTGAGGGCGTAGAAATAATGTTCTTGCAGACAATGTCTGAATATTTGCAAGGTCATATGTACAGGGGCATCACAGGTGTTTTGAAAGGTATTAAACATGTCCTTTCTCAAAATTTGTCATGAGTTGTCAATTACCTTGTTTTTGTGAACACCATTTTTATGCTGTTATCATATATTTGTATCATCTTATTATGTTTAGTATCTCGAGATCTCCACTGGTAGTGGAAGTCAAATTTTGAGTTCTCTTATCCCTATTTGTCAAAATTTTGTTGCCTTTTCCCTTTTAAATGAATTATTTATTGAAAAAAGAAAGACCTATGTATAATGACAATGTTGTACACAATAGGTAAAAGAAATGGACACATCTAGCAAGCCATGTGATACAAACAAAACAAACCCAGAGCTAAAAATGGTGGATTCGTCTTGCAAGCCACATGATACCAAACTAATGAACTCAAAGCTGAAAAGGATGGATTCATCTAGCCAGCCATGCGATACCAAGATAACGAACTCAGAGATAAGAATGACGGCCTCATCTAACAGCCTGTGTAATACTACTAATACCAAGGTAACAGATTCAGCACTTAAAAGGGTGGACTCGTCTAGCAAGGCATGTGATACCAAGATGATGAACTCAAAACTAAGAACTATGGATCCTTCTAGCAAGCCATGTGATACAAAGTTTACAAACTCAACATTAGGAATGGTGGACTCATCTAGCAACCAATCCGATACAAAGATTGCAACTTCAAAGCCAACAGTGATGGATTCACCCAGCAAGCCATCTGCTACCAATATTTCTGATTCAAAGCTAGAAATATCTAGCAAGCGAGGTGATACCAAGATTACAAACTCAGAGGTAAAAGTGATGGATTCATCTGGCAAGCCATGCGATACCAAGATAACAAACTCAGAACTTGGAGGGAGTAAGTTCTTCTGCAAGGAGGGTTCCCACAATCAAGATGAGATGCTTGAAGATGCACTTCCATCTGCTGCTGTCAAGGGTCACTCAGACAAATCCCATGAAGTACTTAAGATGTTGCATTCCAGGAGAGATGATTTGTTTCAGGCTGCTTTATCAGCCCTTTATAGAAAAAGAGATGAGCTGGTAAATTCTTAAACTTTGATAGTGTTGCTTATTTTTGCCACGCAATTTTGATTAATAAGTGTTTGTTTCTTATGTTTGTTTCTTATACATGCAATTAATAAATACATCCAATGAAGTTTCTTTATTGATTCATGTTTGCTTGTGTTGGTTTTTTTGTTTTTAGGTTCATCAGAAACGGTTGGCAGAAGATGAGATTTGCAGATGTGAGAAAAGCCTACTAACAATCATGAATGGTAGGCTTTCTCCAAGTTGGTCATCTTTATAGAGTTTTAACTCATGCTTATGTTAACCTTCTCATTCTTTTCCTAACTTGTTATTGTACTTTAACAAGTAATGTCAAATGTTTTGGTATTACCTCGTGAATTGAATGAGAGGGTTGGAAGTCTTGAAATTATAGGATGCTGACATTTCTGTTGTTCTGTAGAAGAGGAAGATGCTCTAGAGTTATCAATAGATTTGATTATGGAAGCTTGTAAGAAGGCATGTTGTAAAGGAGATACTCAAATTTCCACAGTGGGGCATGAGACTTCTAGAGGGAATTGTTCATTTCAAAATGTAAAAAGGAAAAAGCTGTCGGAGGCTGTACTTTATCTTAAAAGTTCATGCCAGGCAAGTTCTGAACTTTTTTAATAAATTTACTTAGACATGGATGCACTCAACATGATGAGACATATTTCTCTCGTATTAGAGAAAATATCATTTAGGGGCTCAAATTAAGTTATAGAATCTTTAAAGGGCTCAAAATATACACTCATGCTTTAATTTTTAAGTTTCATTTCATCAAAAAGTTTGTTAAAATTATCAAATTAAAAAAATACTTTGGTTTGTTAAAAAATTAGTTACACGGGTTATTTATTAAAAAAAATATGTTCCTAAAAAAAAAAAGTTCAGGGTTGGAAACCACTAATAAGTAGGGGCATTTTGCTAATATGGCCCACTCAAGTGGCTCTAGATAAATTACAAAAATAGCCCTAGTTGTTTAGGGTTTGGAAATGGAACTGCCAAATGAGCAAAATATCTCTAGTTGTTCAAAGTTAGGAATACCATTGTTTTTTTTTGGTCATTTGGCAATTCCATGTCCTCAACCCCGAACAACCAGGAGAATTTTAGTAATTTGGCTCTAGCCACCAAAATGGCAGCAATTGTTCAGAATTCCCAGCTGTGATAATTTGGGAAGTTTTAGGAGTTACCTTTATGAAATGAAACTTAAAACATAAACCCTTGTAGTAGTAAATAAGATCTTTTAGGCTTGTTAATGATTTTTTAAGATATTTGAGATTGATGTTATTTTCCTTATTATTATCTTTAAGATTTCAGATGCCATGCCCTCTGGTCTCTCTTATGGTCGCTTCCTCTCTCCTACACACTAACCTAATAACTGTCATCCAAAGTGTTCCATGCTTTCTATTGCTTCTGGCATGGTAAAACCTTCTCCTTCATAAGCCTATCAAACATAAAAAGGAAAAAACTGTCTGTTTTTAGTGGCTTTTATTGATGGATTGAACTTTTGAGTTGTTGAATGGTATGAGATTGCGGATTTATATTCTTGATGTAATGGCATGTGACCATAATCGAAGGCAAGCAACTCTTCTATATGGACAATTTCTTTTTGTAAGAGGGTTCTTTATTGAGATTCGCTGTACATTGGAGATTGCCTATTTATAGTTCTATCTTAATCAAGATTGTACTTTCACACATGATAGTGTGTTGGTGCTGGGTGCTAATTGCTAGCATTATTAGTTAAGATTGGAGCATGTTGTAAAAGCCATCTAGCTGTTGATCAATGCCTTATGGTGAATTTTGGTAGGTGACTTTTAGAAGTGTCATGTAGACCTGGTATACTTTGAACCTATTTTATGAGGACATGGGTACGAGAATCTGTCTTAGTTGGATTGAAATAATCCGATTCACCTACTTATATCTTACCAAGTCCACAACACGTCCGTAGAAATTCATATAATCTATACGTGTCTATATCTATTTAAATATAAAATTAATTTGTGACTTTTCAACTACAATTATCTTAAAAAAATAAAACGAGTGTGTCCAAATGAAAAATGCTCATGTCTAAAATAGACATGTGCCCAATAGTAGGAACATGTGTGTCTTGTTATTTCAATCTGTAGACTCGCTGGTCCATATAGCAAACACCAAATTCAGAAAATGAGCATTTCTAGACATGAAGGGCAACACAGAGTTCCCATTTATGTATGCATGTCGACATGTTTGGCTAGTGCATTGGTGTGTCAAATTCTCCTAAATGCATGGGCCAAGTGTTGTTACGTTGGTTTGAATTGTACATGTGGCACTACATGCTGTCAAAGAAATGATCTTTTGCTTGTAACGATGAACATCCTTTTTCTTCTCATATCTCCTCTTTCTGATTGAGTCATCCACATTGTGATATTGATCCTGATTCTAATGACCTTTTTATTTATTTAAAAACGGTGAACATCCTTTTTTTTGGTATTTTTGATAATTAATTCTGATATCCTCCCTGTGTGGTTTTGGATGGGACAGTTGCTAAAGAATGTCCCAAGGAGATAAGAACATTCCATGCATTATGTCATTTTTCAGTTTCTTTTTCTTCAGTGATTTGACTACTTTTTAGCTTTGATGTTGTTTTCGTTCCTTCTCTGGGTGATTGACATCGTACACAAGGGTAAAATTCAGTGTGCAATTTACATGTCCTACCCCCATTTTGAACAAAGGCTTAATGTGGTCTTCGTGCTATCTGTATGTTGGTGTCACTCGCCTAATTTGATGATATAATCTGTTCTACCACGTCGAGGAATGGCTAATTATCCTCTGTTCAATATATGATTCTTGTCTATTGTCCTGGTTATCAGGGTCTTTATTTTTTGAAATTATTAATTTTTTTACTGAAAAGGACAAATCTAGACCCCCAGGGATGCAGCTCTACTTGTTGAAGACACGCCAAACACCACACCTTGACCCTATCTGCCTCTCCAACCTCCATTCTTTTTCCTTCCTGAACCTGCCTCCTGTCTCTCCCTTCCCCGCTACTTCATTTGCAATATACACCTCTCCATCCACTCAAACCTCTCCAAACACCACACCTTGACCCTATCTGCCTCTCCAACCTCCATTCTTTTTCCCTCCTGAACCTGCTTCCTGTCTCTCCCTTCCCCGCTACTTCATTTGCAATATACACCTCTCCATCCACTCAAAACTGTTATATACTTAAAGCATTTCATTCCTCCGCTTGCCCCCATTTCCAGGTGACTGTATTCATGTTCCCATGTCATCATAAACTTCATGCCTTCAAGCTCCATTGGAGTGCTACCAGATCTTTTTGTTTTTTCAGTGACAGGTGCTAGCCTAGATCTTAATTTTTAGGAAGATGTGGTAAGAATTGATGCCGTTTATCTTTTATGGTAAGAGAATTCATGCCCTTTACATGTTCCAAGATCATTGAATGACCACTTTAATGGAAAAGCCTGTTCTAGCTATAATTGGGAAGAGTCATATGTATGAATCCACCATTATTCCTCCACTGGGACACTCTTGACTGGTTCACCCTTTCACCTCGTAATGTGAAAACATTCTTCCTTGATGACATTCCTCCAGTTTTCATGCTTCTAAACTTTAGATGGCAGCTACCATTCGTCCATCAACTCTAGCCCTAGTGTGTCATGGAATCCCCTAATTTACAATTTTTCATTAATTATTCCTGTGGTAAAGTGCTATTGAAGATAGTAGAGCTTGTCGAAATATGTAGAATAGGAAGAACTAATATACAAATACATTGTTCTCAACACTTCCCTTCATTCTGAGGAGGAAATATTCTTGGTCAACTGCTTGTTCGTGTGGGAGTTAATGTCAATCATGTGCCAGAGCCTGCGTGTACATATCTACTACTTTGGGCATTCTTAGCTCCAAAATTCTCCTTGTATAGTGGGAAATCGCTACAATGTGCCTAGCCCTATCATGAAATATCCGATTCCATCAATATGTATACTGCTTATGTTATTACAGAACAAATCTAACAACTTAGAGTAACAACTAGTTTGTATTCTACTTCAGCTTTGCTTTTCTAGCCGATCAATTTGTCGCCCTGAAACATGTGAAACTTGAAATGTACTGCATATTACCTTTATTTCTCCTTGCGGATTTGGATCGAGTATTGGAGCCTCAAAATCATCATCAGGGTCAGTGTTTCAAAAAGCGCTAGGCTGCACCTAGGCGGTTGGGGGGGTCCATGCCCAACGCCTAGGCGTGCGCCCAGAACCTGGGTGGCCCAATAGAAATTTTATTTTTTTGGGTTTTCTCTCTCGAAAGTAGCTTATAATGGGTTTAGGTTTCAAATGAACCTAAAACCCACAATTTTGCCCTTTTAGTATTAAAAAATGACCCAAAAATACCCTCAAGGAGCCGCATTTCCGCTGCTGGGTGGGGTGCATGCCTTGGGCGGCCACCTAGGCGGGTTCAGGTGAGCGCCCAAGGATATCTGCCTAGGCGGCCGCCCAGGCACTGGGCGGTCCTCTTTTTGAAAGAGTGCTTAGGCTTCTTACTTGCAACAATATATGCTACAAATAAGGACGATTATGTCCCTCATCATCATCATCATTATCATTATTATCATTATTATCATCATCTGAGCTTTATCCCAACTACTTGGGGTCAGCTTCATGAAAATATGGGGCAAAATATTACGTTGACTGCCCACCTACACATCCCTCCTCCTTTCTCTTGGCTTGGGACCGGCACGACTGGTTGGGATTGGCCATGGAGGGCTTAAGGACAATTATGTCCATGATGATATAAATAATGACCTCATGCATATTGCAAATAGAAATTATCTTGAAAGCCCATAGCTAAGGGCTATTTTTTTTCCCTATTACAAAAATTACCATCTTCCCTCTTTTTGTATCTGGTTATTTTTCGCTTAACAAATATACCCCGAGCTAAAAAAAAGCTGACAATTTAATGCATATTGCTTAGTCAGTTGGCATTCTTGCACAATATGAAATAACTTCCATTCAAATTAAAAATATTTTGAGTTCATGCTGCATGTGAATTCATTAACTTTTTGACATTCCTTGCTACTGTTGGAATTATTTTGAGAAGAAATGATTAAGACTTCCTATATGAGCATTGCAGGAACTAGATGAAATATGCGTCAAAAACCAGTGGTTACCACCAAGCTACAACACTTTCCCAGCAGATGGTAACATCAAATTTCTCGTGTTTGATTTTTGTTCAATGTAAAACTTGTTTGAGAATATAAAAAGAAAAAAACGGAAAGGAGAAGGGGTCTCATATAGTTTGGTTTTGGTGCAGCGTTTGGACTCATTTGTGCAAACGTAATGATTCATGGAGTGGACTTTGAATTTTGCGAGCGTGGTGAGTTGAAAAGCACTCCACAAGAAGCAAGGGAGTCGGCAGCCGCAACTATGTTGACTAAATTACGAATTACTGTTAGCGAGACACAGTAGTTTGAGTTGGCATTAGAGACGAAAGAATGACAAATCGATCATGCCATTTTACCTGAAAGAAAAACTGAAAGTTCCATTGTTGGTATAATGCTGAATACTGTGACAGCTTTATATAATCACTGTGAATGATGAATTATGTAATTTCAGAAAGATGATTTATGTGCATGTCTTTGTGTCCTTACTCATTCTTCCTCTTTTTTCTATAGTTTTGATTTGTATTTTTTTGGCTAGGTATTTTTATATAATTGATGTGACATGATGCATCTGAATGTGCACCTTTTCCCTTCATAGGTCCCCTTTGACATGGCACAGTATCCTCTTACCCTCTTGCTCTTTTATTCCATCAGCCACATCTCAATGGGGACTTGTAGATGAATCTAAGAACAGAAGATATTGGCACTTGGATCAGCGGATAGGGCATTAGGGGTCCTGCAGCACATTCGAGACATGAGTTTTACCTCTAAACTACCCAAATAAAAACCAGTACTGAACGTCTGAAAACTCCAAATGAGGATCTCCTCAAGGTCAGTCTTTCAGTTGTGAGCAGTGAGCATCTCTGTGCCGTGCTTCATTTCAAGTTTTACAGCTACTTTAACTATTTATTATTGGGAAGTGTTTTACTGTGGCTGCAGTGGTGGGCAACTGGAGACGGATTCAGGTAAAACTGAACCCTGGAGCTTGAGGAAGCTTGCTCCCCCCCTTTCGCCTTTCCTCTTTCCCTTCCCTCAATGCCTACCGTTCTCCATCCCTACCATCTTTCGTCATTGCACAATCCTCCTCTCCCTCCACCTCCCTTTTCCCATGACTTCTAATATTAGTTGTAAGTGACAATGGTGGTTCCGGATGAGCAACCTCAAGACCCACCGCCTGAACCTCTGGACCTGAATCCATGGAAGTGAGCGAAAGTTTTTTGAGAAATGGTTGAGAGGGGATCCAGCTCACTAAGATTTCTGGCAAAAACCTACATAGTGGTAATGGAAGATGGCAAGGTCAAAGCTCCTTCCACAAGAGAAGGTCCATGTGAGTTCAAAATTTTGGGGGGCCTCTCATTGGGATCTTACCAAGGTCAAAGCTCCTTCCACAAGAAAAGGTCTTTGGGAGTTCAAAATTTTGGGCGGCCCTCTCATTGGGATTTTCTATGGAAGAAGACCTTAATGAGTCTGTCCTCTACAAAGATTCACACAAACTTGGAACATAAAAGGAACGCTCGGCATTATAGCCAAAGAGGACAACCATATTGTTTCTGGATTTGATCTAAGGTAGCATATGGGGAAAAGAAAGTTACAAATAGAGGGCCCCATTTTATAGGGGAGGTTTCATATAACTCAAATGTTGTCAGTCCCTTTGGACACCTTCAATGGACTACAATCCGTACCATTCCCATGGGCTAGGTTAACAGACCTTCCATATCATCTTTGGTTGGTTCATAGCTGCTTCCATTGAACCCCTGTTTCAATGGACAACTACTCATGATGATAAACAAGTAGATTTTGCTCTTATGGGTCAGGACGATTGTAGGGGAAAAGTTCTTGCAAAACGTTTTGAGTATGAAACTGTTTTGAAACCATGCTCCACTGCATGACTCTTGGTCATGAGACACAAAACTCCTTGTTGCGTCCAATTTGAGATGGTACAGCTGGTGCACAAGCACCTTTCTGTGTTCATATTAGAAGGGGTGAAAATAGACATGAGTGTATAATAGCGTTTTAATTTAAAACTCTCTTTTTGTATAGATTGGGTAGATAATAAATTTTGAAGGTGTGCAGGCTACACTTAGGCAGACCTAAAAAATATAAAAAATAAATGAGCAAAAGTATTAATGAGTATTTGACGGGTATTATAGTTAATTTTTTTTTTACAGTTTGTTTTTTTTTTTTGGGTGCATGTGGATGTCCAGAGTTTTAATTTGATCCAATTTGTAATAAAATAAAATAAAATAAAATACTAAATACAAACCACACTTGTTCATGTTCTTCTCTTTGAATCTGAGCTTGTGCATAGTTCAAGATCCATGTGTTGTGCAAGATGTTCTTTTCCTTGCATTCCACATGTTCAAGATTCAAAGCCCTTAGGACGAGAACAAAGACAACTTGCAAGTACTCAAACGTAACAATAGTATAATAATATGATATTATGATGCAATGCAGCAGTTGTTAAATCCAAAAGGAATTCGAGTCTTTGGTTCGATCGCTGGGGAATTGAGACATTTGAATTTCACTAAGATCGTATCAGTAGCTCCCGAAGTATTCTAATGCTACTTAGTTCGAGATTATGCACTGAATGAAGGGATGAATGGGGCCTTCCATGAAGATGAGATAAAGAGATTTGAAGAATATATACTGTGAAGAAACCATTCTGGTCTGGAGATGGATGGCTGGGAAAATATATTTTGACAGGAAGGTAGGTTGAAGATGCACAACATGGGCAAAGCAAATCATATGTTCTCTACCGGAAAAGAAAGCAAACTGATCCCCCACAAGTTTATAGGGAATTGGAAAACCAAAATAGGGAAGATTGGTACATATTCAGAATAGTAAGGCCTCCTCCCTAGTTCACAATTAGATTTGGACAGCCGAGATCCAGTAAGTCCCAATAGCTTGGCTGGTCCAAACGCCCATTTCAAATCGGCTGGTCCAAACTCCAATGTCAAATCCCTCTTTCTGTGTTGAAAATTTTGGTGTAGGGTGAACGAAGGCCGGAATATGTAATAATAAATAAGGAAAGAAACTATTAAGGACTTTTCGGTTTACAACCATGCTAAGCGTTCTATCAAGACTGTAATTTGCCTAATTACTATAGAATAATAGTATGCAATAAAGGTAACCTGAGCACATCAATCATCGGGATATCTAAAAACAGAAAATCATTAAATAATATTCGCCAAATTTTACATAGTATAAGCACGTCTATATTGTGCTAGAGTTACCGAATTTAGAGAGAGAAAGTGACTCATTTTTGTGTTTTTAGAGAGGTAAAGATAGTAAAAAAAATATTAAGAGACGGAGTGAGAGAATTTGAATTAGTTAAAAGGTAGTTTAAGAAGGGGTGCAGTTGGCATACGGATGCATCCGTCGGTGTAGAGGTAAGATGTACCTTCAAATTTTATCATGGTATATAATTTTGATGTAAAATGTTCTTAGGATTATCTCAAAATCTATTTTTATATTTAATTATAAAATTTTAATTTAAAAAATGGTTAAAATCAAGTAGATCGATAAACATATGAAAATCTTGAAAATGGACAGCGTAGATAATATGTTGTAAAATGCACTATTTCTGAGACTTAAATCGTTTTATTTTTCAGTGATACATCTCGATGTCGAGAAGTTCAATCAAAAGGTTTTTCAACATTAAAGCTACCTTTCTGATGGATTTTTGAGGGGCATCCGTAGTTCTACATTATAAAGTAGCATCCTTATATAAATTTTTTCCTTTAAGAAGATGAGTAAAAATCACTCTTAAAGTGTGAATGGTGGCTGTTAATGGGATTGTTCACAAGACAAGTGATTGTTGGGTTTCCAACCATCATCATCCAATCGTTATTAATTGTTGGATCATTGAACAAGTGTGAGCACACCCCTCTATGATGCAAATAAAAATAATATTTTTTAACATTTATTATTTTTATATGTTTTAGGGCTTAGAAAATATATTATTTGGCTTTTTAGTTTTCTAATTATTGTTTTATTTTATTTGAGCAGAACTGGGAGTTTAGTTATTTTAAAAATATATGGATATGAATAAGAATTAGCATGGTTGGATTGATTTGGATGTGTTAGATTTGTTTTTTAAGAGGTAAAGGAGAGATAGAGTTTAATTTATTATTTTAATTTATTATTCTTTATAAGTTTATATTTAAAAAGAAGATGTCCCTTTTTAGTAGAGATAGGGACTTAAAAAATATATGTACATATTTTTATTTGTATTATTCTTTTGGGTTGAGAGAAGCTTGACTTCGAGATTGTTGAATTTAAATCTTTTAAGACCTCAAAAGTTGCTACTGTCCCAACATTTTTTTTTGGTACTTTGTCTTTAGTAAACCAATTTGTCAAATATTTTGTGCAACTTGACGTAGAACACTGGGATCTCGAGCTTTTTCCTTGTTTTTTTTTCCTTCATATTCACACAGTTGGATTTCAAATAGTACATCACACATACTTTTTCTTCACCCTAAGATATTTTTAAGACTTTGATACAAAAAAATCGCCCCCTAACTTCTCCAAGTCCAAAATCACTAAAGTCATCATCCATGTTCAAGTTCCTGAACGACCAATCACTAAAGGCACAGTCGTGATCTCCCCTTTAAGAGTGTTATGGACGCACCCGAGTCAAGTCGGACTCATACAACAAGGCAAGGCCGAGTTATCATACAACTCGGGATACATGAAGAAATTTCAAAAAAAATTTATTGTTTAGGTACATGGATTTTTAATATCTTGGATATTGTCAAAATCTACTGTTTGGATTACTTAATGACTAAGATCCTTAAAATCAAAAAAATCAAAATTATGGAAACAAAACTTACTTTTTCATTGTTTCATTTTCACACCAAAACATGTTTTTTTGCATTTCCAAGGCCTATGAATTTCACTCATTGGCTCCCTCGACCTGAAACATAGGGATCATTTGGTAGGTATAAAATTTTAGAGAGAGAGTACCTGAAATTTTTAAAGAAAGAAACTATCTCAACACTTTAGAGAGAGAAACTATCTTAAACTTGAAGTTTTAGAGAGAGAAAGCATCTTAAAATTTAAGAGAGTAATAGTATCAAATTTTAGAGAGAGAAAGTACATAAATTTTTTTAGAAAAAGAAACTATCGCAAAATTTTTAAAAAGAAACTATATAACATTTTAGCTTTTAAAAAGATAAAGTATCTTAAAATTTGAGAAAAAAACTCTATCATATTTTAGAGAGAGAAACTATCTCAAAATTATTGAAGAGAGGACCTATGTCAAGTTTTAAGTCTTAGAGAGATAGTATCTTAAAATTTTAGAAAGATACACTATATTAAATTTTAGAGAGAGTAAAACACCTATAAATTTTTGAGAGAGAAATTATCTCAAAATTTTTAGATAGACAATTTCAAATTTTAAATTTTGGATAGAAAGTTTATTAAATTTTGAAGAGAGATACCATATCAAATTTTAGAGAGAGAAACTCTCTCAAATTTTTTATAGATACTCTATCTCAAAATTTGAGTTATAGAGAGAGAAAGAATATAAAAATTTTAGAAAGAGAAATTGTATCAAGTTTTATTGGGAAACAATGCACATGAAAGTGATTGTAAGGAATCCATGAGTTTTGTATAGTTTATCCAAACAAGAGATTTGAGGAATCCATGACAAAATTTTTTGAAAAATCAATAGATTTTCTTGAATTTCAAATATCTAAGATTCTTAATTTCCTCTTGTCCAAACAAGCCCAAAAAAGAAATTGTAAAAAATCTGGGTATATTCTATGAATTCTTTTATATATAATTTGGATATTTTTGACATAAACTGATGAGTGTTTTATTGACGTAGTCCCAAATTGCATTCGTTACTAGGGATTCACGCCATAGAACTTTTCACTATGACAAGTCCTGATTGAAATATTCTTTTTTTTACCTACCTAAAAAAAAGACCTTTGTATTTGTTTTAAAGGTGTTTTGGACATATTTTTAGGGAAGTTTTTATAATTTATTTTGGGTGTGGTTTGTATGAGGTTGAGACCCTAAACAATCAAAATAAGGTGTGCTTTTGAATAGTGTTGAAAGATAATCCTCAGTAGCAAAAATCTTTGTTAGGGGCTGAAAACTCATTTTTATTCGTAGTTATAAAATTTAAAGCTTTAGAAATAGTGTAGATCGAGCTGATCTATAAACACTTGAAAATGGATGGCCTAAATAATGCATTACAAGGTAAATTATTTCACATATTTGAAATCCATTTCTTTTTACCTCTATACATCTCGAGGTCGAGATGATCACTTTAAGTGTTTTAAATATCGAAACAAACTCTTTTAGTGAACTTTTGAGGTGCGCTTTAATTTGATTGTTTTAAGGCCTCAACCTTAATGTAAATTTTTTTTTTTGTTGTTTTAAGTATTTACAAATTTTCTTCAATATTTTGAATTACAATTATGTCCCTTTTTCTTGAATTTTTAACTTTTTTTAAATGTTCATAGTTCGAACCATACCAAATGTTAGGTACCTAATCAATATGCCCCATAACCCTTGGGTGATGGAAATGCGGAAAGTTAGGCCCTTAAGCCACTTAGGATCGTCACAACAAACCCAATCTTTTTTTTAAAAAAATTTATGGTAAAAATTGGGTTGGAAGTTTGAGATATGATCGGTCATTCAAAAAAAATTCGAGTATTTATTAAGACCGATCAAAACTTCATGTTCTGGTTTTGACAAAAAAAAAAACCAAAAGTTATGTAAGAGATTGGGTGAGGAAGACCAGTTCACAATTAACTCTATGCTCAGACCTGTTTTTGTTTTTCACACAAAATGGGTTAGAAGTTGGAGTTGTAGAATAGAGTAACGTGAATAAAATAAATAAATACAAAAAATATAAATAAATAAATAAAAAGAAAAAAAGAAAAAGAGACGGAAGGGGAATTGAGCGTACAAATTCAGGTTAGAACTTCGAGTTCTGACCCGATGGTTACTTTGAAAAAACAAATTTAAGAAAAAGAGAATTGAGCGTAAAATTCAAAAGGTGCGGTTTGTATAGAGACTAGGCTCTAAACAATCAAATTAGAGCCTACCTTCAAATAGTATCGACAAATGTGGTTTCATTATTGAAAATATTTGTGATAGCTTTAAAATATATTTTCATATTTATTCATAAAATTTAAAGCTTAAAAAATAGTGTAGATCGATAGAGTTATGAAATCTTGAAAATCTTGAAAATTGACGGTGCAAAATTGCGTTACAAAATACACTATGTCTAAAACTTGAAATCCATTTTTTTCTCATGTCCATGCATCTTGATGTCAAGATGATCAATTTGAAGATATTTGGGCATTAAAACAACCTTTTCTAGTGAAATTTTTGAGTAGGCTCAAAGTTGATTGTTTAGAGCCTCGGCTCTATATAAACTTTTCCCAAATTCAAAATACGAGTACAGTTTTTTTAATACCATATAAAAATAGATATTAACAAAAGTTCGGGTGTTTTTTCACTTAAGATCCTGCACCTATTACTTCATGCCAAAGATTTTATGGTCTCGCATAAACATACACTCCCTCTGGCAAAACACAATCTCAGAGTCATTTTTAGGGTGAACTTCGTGAACTTAGCGACTAACCCTGGAAAAAAAAAAATCAAATCCTACTTTGTGTGAAAAAGAAGTCCTACGATTGAACAAAGACTTTAACTTTAAAGAAAAATCTAATATTTAAGAACTTAAACTTAAATTTAAATTTTTTAAATTAATAATCATGTCGTGATGTTTAGATGGATCCAAAATTTCGGATAAAAAAAAAAAAGAAAAAAAGAAGAAGAAAGGGATTGTATATAATGAGACCATTTATTTTTGATGCATGGAGGTCACAATTACTACAACCATATGATGTGAAATCTGATTGCTAGGGTGCGTTACAAAGTTCGAAAAATTTATTTTGAAATCTCAATTTGTAGATAAAATTTAAAGGAAAAGTATACAATGAGATTATTTATCTCTGGTACAAGGTGGTTACAATTAATCTTGAACATTAGATATGAAATTTGATGGTTACGTTAAATTCATTGACCAAGCACAAACTTCAAAAGAAATTTTCTCGAACTTTGTAACACACCCAAGCAATCAGATTTCATCTAAGATGGTTGAAGTAATTGCGATCTCCATGCATCAAAAGTAAAAAGTCTCATTGTATATAATCCTTTTAAATAAAGATTGAAGCCGAGGAAAATTTATCTAAAAATTGATAATCAAATAAAAAAAAGGCTTATATAAGTGCGAGGCTTTAAACAATCAAATTAAGACACATCTAAAAAATTCATTAAAAAAAAGTTATTTCGATCCTGAAAAATGCTCAATTCGATCATCTCAACCCCAAGATGTATGAAGATGATGATAAAAAGTTTTCAAGTATTGAAAATAGTGCATTTTATAATGTATTATGGACATGGTTAGCATGCGGCAAGCCCGTAAAATGTAGAAATGCGGGCTTGGCATTACCTATATTTTTTTAAATATAATTTGATTGTAAGTTTTAGAGAATAATTATATTAAAAAAACATTTAAATCGTTAGTTACAATTTTTTTAGATGGACTACCTATTTGCATCCATCTTTAATATCGATGTTTTATACCTTTGGACCGTATATTGTAAAGACTGTTAATTTTCAAAATTTTCAAATATTTATAGATCTATGCTATTTTTTAACTTAAATTTTATTATTAGAGATAAAAATATTGTGGATAAAAATAAATTTTCAGGCCACCATAAATATGGGTGCGGTTTCTATAAGGTTGCAACCTGAAACAATCCAATTAAGGCATGCCTTAAAATTCTATCATAACATGTAAAATGGACGGTCTAGATAATGTATTGTAAGATGCACTATTTCGAGGACTCAAAATTTTTTTTTTTTTTCATATTCATACCGATGTCGAGATGATCAATTAGAGGGTTTTTTCAACATTAAAACAATATTTTTGAGGTGCATCTCTATGATTCTATTGCAACCTTACATAAACGTTTCCCCAATAAATATTTCTAATATTAGAACGAAAATGGCGGAAAAAAAAAAATAGGATGGTAAAAAACCTTTCGCCCACCGTGGGGCTCGAACCCACGACCACAAGGTTAAGAGCCTTGCGCTCTACCAACTGAGCTAGACGGGCAACTTTTGATTAGATTGTCCCACTAAAGCTAGTTAGTATAATCTGATATTATGATTGGGATTTAACCCTTTGTCAAACTAGTGTAAGATATTTCACTTCATAGTTATGCCTTGACTTTTGGCATTGGTTCATGTATTAGTTTCTACTAAAATAGGATATCTATATATATAATTAAGGGTGTGGTTTTTATAAGGTTGGAACCTTCAAGAACACACCTACAAATTTTATCATAGCATGTAATTTTGGGGTAAAGTATTTTTAGGATTATTTTAAAAACTATTTTCATATCTAATTAAACAATTTTAAATTCAAAAAATGCTTAAACTCAAGTTGATCTATAAACATATGAAAATCTTGAAAATGGACGGTCTAGATAATGTGTCACAAAATGCACTATTTTTGGGACTCAAAATCTGTTTTTTTTTTCATATTCATATGTCTCAATGTCGAGATGATCAATTAGATGGTTTTTCAAAATTAAAACAAGCCTTTTCGATGGATTTTTGAAGTGCATCTTTAATTCTACATTTTAAGGTTGCAACCTTATATAAACTTTTTCCATTAAGTAAATAACATGATTTAATTTATTGAAGTTTAATCAATTTACACGTTAAATAGGAACTTTTATACAAATTTTTTCCATTTTATTGCTTTTTTTTCAATTGAATAATCTTAATCCATTGTGGTCTCTTTATTCTAACACATTGCTTTTTTTATTTAAGTGAAATGGAAAATATTAGAGCCCGAAAGGGCTTTTGGGATGGTAGGTTGTCAATATGTTATGGAAATGCATACAAATGAGACCACTTATCTTTTATACACGATGGTCACAATTAATCTTGACTATTAGATGTGAAATTAGGTGGTTACACTTATTCTATTATCCAAGATGAAAGTTTAAAAGAAACTTTTCAAACTTTGTAACGCACCCGAGCAATCAAATTTTATATTAGATGGTTATAAGTAATTGCGACAATCTCATATTTTGGATGACAATTTACATAAATTGTGTTTGGCCTCAATAGGCTTTTCAGCTGTGATATATTTCATATATATTTGTTTTAAGCAAGCATAACCATGTTGAAATGTATTTTGCGTTTGTTAGACATTTTCATTTTTCAAATTGTAAATCCCTACAATTTAGGGATTTACAACTAGGAAAGACATATATCCTGTAAAATCTCAATAATCAAAGGATCATATTTAGCATGTATATGTAATATATAAATCCCCTTTGCGTCAATGAAATATAGATATCGATTCTCCAAAGCTAACATGGTATTAGAGCCTATGGCCAGAAACTTTCCTTCTGCAATTTCTCTCTCCTCAGCTTGAGCCCTTTTCAAAATACCTTTCAAAAACCTTTCCTTCTTGGTAGCTTTGTCCTCAGGCCCATACTTCAGAAGCATCTTAAAAAGGTTCGTAGCAAGGTTCTTATTCAATGTCTTTGTAAACTGATTCAAAGCTGGAGGGACCTTTAGCCTCTGCTTAAGGATTCTTCTTTGCCTTTGAATACGAACAACTTTAGGCCACTTCACAAACCCGTGAAGGACCCTTTTGGAAGAGCCTTTCCGCTGCTTCTGGGAGCCATTTGTGGTGAAGGAGATAGTTCGAGCTCTGCCTCACTAGAGGGGACCTCGATTTTAGAGGCTCTGTGATCAACTCCAGGCTCTTGAAAAACCACAATCATCAATTTTACGGTGGTTTTGACATTTGGTTATTTGGGGTGGTTTTTCGATCCCTTGTTTCAGGTATTCTGATAAGTTTCTATCGCTTATAAACCCATAAAGCCTACTATTCATTGTGCTTCATTCCTTCAAGTGGAAACCAGTTTCTCATTTGGGTCTCTTTTTTTTTTTTTAAAATCATTGGTTTCTGGTTTCCCATCAAATTAAGCTTCTTATAAAACCACTATCAACTTCTTCACGCAGATTTTCCCTTTAGGTGGTTTTTGAAGCACTTGGTTTTCTATTTTATTTTCTCTAAAATTGACACAGTTCCGTCCCTTTTTCTCTAACATTGACGTAGTTCCACTTTCTAGGAAGAAGCCCGTAAATTCCCTGCTACCTATATTCCATTGACACAATTCTGTCAAATTTTCCTATTCGTTGCCATTGCCATGGACAACCAAATACCTCCGCTTTCTACAGACTCCATCAATGTCATCCTTGATGGGAACACTATGACAAATGGTAATAGCTTCTCTTCCTCTATTATTGATTTCACTAACCCCTTTCATTTGACCAACAATTATAATCCTAACAATATTTTTGTCTCTCACATCCTTGAAGGTGAGAATTATCCACAATGGAGTCGAGCTATGACCACTACTTTGAGTGCCAAAAACAAGCTCTCTTTTGTAGATGGTTCTCTAATCATACCTCCTATCTCTTCCTCTACATCTTTTATGGAAAAGATGTAATGACATGGTCCGATCCTGGATCCAAAATTCAGTCAATAAAGAGATTGCTTATAGTATTTCCTATGAAACCACTGCTCAAGGCATGTGGGATGATCTGAAATCACTTTATCAAAACAATGCACATCGTCTCTTCAAGTTATGACGGGATCTGACACTTGTTTCTCAAAGTTCTTCCACCATTTCACTTTATTACACCAAACTTAAATCTCTTTGGGAAGAACTTGCTTCTTATACCCCTCTTCCACCTTGTTCTTGTGGGTCCTCCAAGGCTTCACATGACTATTTACAATATGATAGATTAATTCAATTTCTCATGAGACTCCATGAATCTTATCACCCATTTTGAGGCTAGATCCTTCTCATGAACCCTCTTCCTAATGTCAATAGAGCTTATTATCTTCTTCTTCAAGAAGAAAAGCAACGGCAGGTGGCTACAAAAACAATTCTCTCAGAAGATGCTGCTGCCTTTGTAGTCAACACTGCTACACCTCCTACAAATTGCCAGCCCCAACATCCTTTCAACAATACAGACAAAGCAAAAGGTCATCTCAAACAGCGACCCAAATGTGATCATTGTGGCTAGATAGGCCACACCATCGACAACTGTTATGTTCTTTACGGTTATCCACCAGGCCATCGATTACACCAACCGTACAAAGGGACATCTTCTAAGCCTACAATAAACGAGAAAAACACTGTTGCTGTAATTTCAAGTCAAAGTAGCCCCCAATTTACACAGGATCAATATCGTCGCTTGCTCTCTATGCTTACTGAAGGTAATGTATAACCAATGGTCAACTGTGCAGGTAACTCCACATCCTCTCCATCTTCCATTCCTCTCCATACTTGGATTGTAGACACAGGAGCTTCTGATCACATGATTTTTGACATGTTTTTGTTTCATTCATCTACGCATGTTTCTCACATAGCACTTGTCAAACTTCTAAATGACTCCTTTGCTTCAGTAACTCATATTGGTTATGTTTTTTTTAACACCTACACTTTGCTTACATCAAGTATCGTGTGTTCCTTCTTTTGGATTCAATTTACTTTTCATCAGCAAACTTACTACATTCTATCCCTATTCAGTGATGTTTTTTCTTGATATGTGCATTTTTCAGGACCTGTATCAGAAGACGACGATTGGAACAACTAACTAGCTTGGTGACCTCTACTATTTTGAAGCTCCTCCACTAACTCGTACTACTCTTTCGTCCATTTTAGTTGGTTATGATTTATGGTATAAACGTTTAGAACATGTTTCTTCTATTCGTTTGAATTTGTTAGCCAAGATTGCTGATGGGATCTTTGTTTTCAATCTTAGTCATTGTGATGTTTGTCCTTTAGCTAAACAAACAAGATTACCTTTCGTTTCGAATTCTATTTTATCTACTGTATATTTTGATTTGATTCATTGTGATATTTGGGGAGGTTATTCCGCTCCTTCCCATTGTGGAGCTCATTATTTTTTAACTCTTGTTGATGATTTTTCTCGTTCCACTTGGGTATTTCTTATGCAAAACAAATTTGAGACTCCATCTTTATTAAAATATTTTTTTGCATTTGTAATACTCATTTTCAATGCATTATTAAACACATAAGGACAGATAATGGATCTGCGTTCTTTTCTCGTACTATTCAACAATTTTTTAAAGAACATGGGGTCACCTATCAACATAGTTGTGTTTACACACCGCAACAAAATGGTGTTGCCGAATGCAAACATCGCCACGTACCTGAAATGACACATGCTTTGTACTTTCAAAGTAATCTTCCTCTTATCTTTTGGGAAGATTGCATTCTTACTGCCACATATTTAATAATCTGGTCACCAACACCTTTATTATCGAATAAATCCCCGTTTGAAGTATTATTTAATAAACATCCATCTTACTCCCATTTGCGAGTTTTTGGTTGCCTTTGTTACGATTCGACCATTGCTTCAAATCGGGATAAGTTCGACCATCGCACTAGCATATGTGTCTTCATTCGGTATCCCCATGTTCAAAAGGGTTATCATCTTCTTGACCTTTCCATCAATTCTATTTTCACTTCTCGTGATGTAGTATTTCATGAGAACATTTTCCCTTATCAAAATCTCTCGTCCACCAATTCCTCTGTCATTTTACCCTTACCAATACCCGATGACTCACCACCCTTTGATTTACATGATGGCTCAAACTCTACCGATCCCATCACTTCCCCACCCAATTCCCCTATTTCTCCTCCATAAGACCAATCCCATGACACCCCATCCACTTTTATCCCAACACCAATCTCTAACTCGCCCATTCGACGTTCTCAACGAGCTTCTCAACCACATTCCTATTTGAGAGGCTTTCACTGCTCGCACGTCAAGCTTGGAGCTGCTTCCACATCTTCTTTTGGCACTGGTTCCACCAAAGGTACACATCATCCCCTGTCCTATTTCATTTCTTATGAATACTTGTCTCCCTCTCATGGAAGATTTGTCTTAGCCGTCTCTTCTATTCAGAAATCTACCTCCTATTCCCAGGCAATGCAAAACCCAAAATGACAAGAGGCAATGCAATGTGAGCTTCAGGCACCTGAGAAGAATCATACTGAGACCCTTACAACTTTACCTCATGGGAAAACTCCCATTGGATGTAAGTGGGTATATAAAGTCAAGTACCGATCAGATGGTACCGTTGAACGCCACAAGGCCCACATTGTTGCCAAGGTTATACCCAACATGAAGGGTTGGAGTACCCTGAGACCTTTGCACCAGTTGCAAAGTTGGTCACTATTCACTGTTTATTAACCATTGCTTCAGTTCATAATTGGACGTTGCACCAATTAGATGTGTTGAATGTATTTCTTCACGGCGACTTGGATTGCCGGTTACACAAATCTATAGATGGACTCAAGCAGGCACCCCGTCAGTGGTTTGCAAAGTTCTCATCGGCCCTTCTTAATGCTAGCTTTACCCAATCTAAAGTGGATTATTCCTTGTTTACTCGCAATCGTCATAATGGTTTTTTGATAGTTTTGGTTTAGGTCGATGACATTATTGTTACATGCATCAATTTACATGTTATACAGTCCCTCAAATCCTTCTTACATCGGTGTTTCCACTTGAAAGATCTTGACCCTCTCAAATATTTCCTTGGTCTTGAAGTGGCACGATCTAAAAATGGTTTATGTATCTCACAACGCAAATATCCTCTTGAGATAATTGAAGAAATGAGTCTCCTTGGTGCCCAACCTGTTCACTTCCCCATGGAGCAAAATCTCAAACTACGTCATGATCATGGAGAAACTCATTTCTGATCCTACCAGGTACTGTCGCCTTGTGGGTTGTCTCATTTACCTGACTCTTACTAGACTAGACATCATTTATGTTGTTCATATTCTCAGTCAGTATATGAGTCAACCACGGCAGCCGCATTATGAAGTACCTCTATGCCTTGTTCAGTACTTAAAACTTGCATCGGGACAAGATTTATTTTTTCCCTCAGATAACCCTCTTCAGTTTCAAGTTTTTTATGACTCTGATTGGGTAAGTTACCCTGATCCCCGCCGCTCTACCACTGGATATTGTGTTCTTCTTGGTCATTCTCTCATATATTGAAAAATCAAGAAGCAACATATTGTTTGTCGGTCTTCCGCTGAGGCCGAATACTGAGTTATAGCTACTGCTAGCTGTGAGATCACCTGGTTACGCTCACTCCTGCATGACTTAGGAGTTCCCACTCACCACATGTTGTTCTTTATTGTGACAATCAAGCTGCATTATACATTGTTGCCAATCCTTTGTTTCATGAACGGAAAAAACACATTGAGATTGATTGTCACTACATTCAAGAAAAGATCCAAAATGGAGTTCTACGGACCTCTTACATTCCAACAACACTGTAGCTTGCTGATGCATTCACTAAAGCTCTTGGTCGTGACCGATTCAATTGTTTGATTCTCAAGTTAGGTGTTCTTGATATTCACGCTCCAACTTGAGGGAGAGTGTTAGACATTTTCATTTTTCAAATTGTAAATCCTTACAATTCGGGGATTTACAACTAGGAAAGACATATATCCTGTAAAATCTCGATAATCAAGGGATCATATTTAACATGTATCTGTAATATATAAATCCCCTTTGGGTCAATGAAATATACATATCAATTCTCCAAAACTAACAACTTTTTTCACTAGTTCAATGAAGCCCAAAGGCCCATATGAGTACCACAAATTTACTTGTTATGAACATCCTATGGAGAAATGACTGTCAGGTTCCTACCTATAGCATTTTTCTTTAGAAAAGAAAAAAAAATGTAAACTGATAAGAACATAATGATCTTAGCCAAAAGG